TGGACACGTATTTTTTCTTTTTTCACATAATATAAACATTGCAGAGATATATTTATTTGAAAAGTCGCATGACGTCACGTTTGAGTACACATATAGGTGAAAATTCACTCAAAAGTGACGTTACGAGCCCCTACTCTCAAACTTTGACGCGCTATAACTTTGTCATTTTTTGGTTGATTGCCGAAAGAAAAATTACGTGTCCATTATTTTTTGATCATCTAACTGACGGACTAAATAGAATTTCGTTTACTGTACCCTGTTATCACCCCTATTATATATTAGGTATTTTTTTATGTTATTAGTATTAGGCACTGTATACATGTCAATCGCGATTTTCAATTTTTTTCTTTATTTTACTGACGGTCCTACCTACTGAGAGATAACTACTTTATTGTTGTTATTACTTAAATAGTAGGAAGGCCCCGAAAATAACACCCTGCTGAAATTCAGACATGAAATTACAAAAAAACTGGATAAATGCGAGACGAACTCGCCCACCGAGGGTTCTGTACAAATTTGTAGGTACGCAACATAAATGACCTTATCTTTTTTACGTTAATTTAGAAGTGTTTTTTTTTGCATCTTTAAGGCACCGTAAATCTTAGTATATGGTTTAAATTTAAATTCGACATCTTAACGCGTTCTTGAGATAAAGGGTCTTGACAGACAGACAGATAAACGGCAGTATCTTTTTTCAAGTTAACTTAGAAGTTTGATTTATTCACAGCGTCAAGGAACCGCAGATTTGAAATAGTTAAATTTCAACTCTATACCTCCACGCGTTCCCGAGATAATTGGTCTTGCTTGACAGACAGACGGACAACAAAGATCTTATAGGGGTTCCGTTTTTTCCTTTTGAATACGGAACCCTAAAAATATATAAATGTAGAAGTACTTACGAAATGTTTAAAAATAATAAATTAAGTAGGTGCTTACACGAAGATTCTTCATTAATCGCGCGATGATGAATACCTATCAAATAATCCAATACCAATTACCAATGATTGAATATTCGGTCGTTATTACAAAGATTAAGTATAAATAATGAGATCACGAGATTCATGTTAGTTGGTATGCTTAAATCATTACAATTTCATAATTAATTAGTATATAAGTACTTTAACGTGCTTTTCATCCTTTTGTCATCACATAAACCTGCAAGGCATGTAGGCCATGCATCATTCGTTCGAAAAAGGTATTCGGATATTTCGAATTCGAAATTAAAAGATATTCGAATAATATGAAATTTTCGAATACGGCTTTATTCAATGTCAGTATGTTAACTAAGTACATATAAAACTTTATTGAGGTCTATTTTGTGCGTTAAAAATATTCAGAAAAAAAAACAAAAGCTCCGACTGCTTTATATTACTGCAAATAAAAACTGAAAGGGAAAAAACAAGTCCAGTAGTAATTTATACAATAAAATAATATTAACGAAGAACTACAAGTTACGAAATGCAGTAGCATACGCACTACCACAGAACAGAGAATCTTTCTGTGTTCTGTGCGCACTACGCACACATACTATACACATTTTTATTCGGCTTTGGCAACGCATTGAGCACGCAAAATCTAATATATATGCATGATCTAAACACTACTTTGTAAGTTTCCGTTCGGATATTTTTACCAAAACATAATTAAAAGTAATAAGTACTTATTCGAAATGTTAAAAAAAACCGAATACAGCTGATAACCGAATAGTAAATATGGCGAATATCCGAATAATATGGATATCCGGATTTCCGAATTGCATGCCCTACTAGCATATAGTATGTATCGTGTCATAGTAGATTATTGGGCTTTTTGAAATACAGGACGGCGCGTCGAATCAAATCAGCGTATTTAGCGTGATGATGATGCGCTAAGTACCTATATGTGATTGGAAAATGTCTTACGCTGCAATATTCGTTACGCAGTTTTTTTTTCTTTAATAGGTATTTTGTTATATAAAGTAGGCGCTCGGAGGCACTTCGCCTTCGCTGGTGATTTGAGTTTTGCGTGTAGATTAAATCTGCACTCGCCCCCGCTTTCGCCTAGCCTAGTAACAAAGCCCTAATACTAATTCTTAGGTATTCGCGTTAATGTAATTATCATGACGTTATAAAATTGATCTAGCTTAATTTCATCTCTGTATTACAGGTTCCCGGGACCATTGTCAAGAAAATAACGAGAGTAGCTTCGGAAAAGCTTAACAACTTCGGCGGAAAACTCATAGGATTATAGAGAACTGAGAGTATCTCTTTTAATCTCGGAACGGATGGTGTATCCGCCAGGGTCACAATTTTTTTTAAAGTTTGACTAAGTCGATGTAGTCACAGTGGCGTAGTGGGTCGCCCGCGTAGATATTCTGTGTAGGGTTAATGTTCTACTCGTCGGCCATGTTCGAACAGCTGACCAAAATGTATAAAAAAGCCCAAAGAAAAGCTGATAGATAATAGATGAGTAGTTTGATAGGTTTGTTTAAATTATTACGGCATCACAATATTATCTGTCACATTATCTGTACGGCTGCATCTTATTGGCCGTAATGTTTGCCGATTTTCCGACGTAAAGATGGCTTCCGGTATGTGCTTATCAAATTAACTAAGATTTTTTTTATTGATATCTTGAGTAATATTTTTTATTCTTGAAAGTGCTGCATATATTCGTTATTTAAACATGACAGCGGAACAAAGGATGTACTAATAAACTAACAATGAAATAAAGATGGTTCGCAAGATATATTTAACCAATAAAGCAAGCTTAAAGAAGCTAACGATGTTTATAAAAAGTTTAATAGTTTTGTAAAAAATATTATAATAAACAGTGATGTCTTACAATGTTTGATCTCTAAGTCGTTGGATATAAAATAATATGTCTATGCAAGTTTGGATTTAATAAAAATTATCGTTTTTACAGATAACAATTTTTAATAAACGAATAAATTACTGATAGACTTTGATACTCAGTATTTATTGCCTTTATTTAAGTTTTTGATAGTGGACAGTAAGTAGAGCATTGCCTGGTAAGGTATTGGTTTGTGATGGTCGAGGAATGGTACATTGCGTATTTTGATATTTTATGAATCATGTACGAATAAATACTTTTTTAAACACACCGAATGTATATAAATCAGATCAGAGTAAAGCCCAAATATTCATAAAAAACACCTAAATCTACATCTGGTAAATTATTAGCGATGATCATAAAATTTGAAAGTTAAGAATCTCTTAACTGGTCCTCGTATGGAACATTAACCCTATATAAGTATATTATCGGTAATCTGAAGTAGCCTGTAACGGAGGCGGAGAAAAGTTGTCATCCTTAGCTTTAATCTATCTCTTTATCCCTAACTCCAGCTAGAAAAGTTTTTTAAGACTATGTATTGTAAAATTTTGCCTTACCTTTATATTTTAGCACCCCGCTTCTCGCGTAAGGGGGTTATTTTCTTCATCATCAGCCTATCTTATCATCATCATGTCCCCACTGCTGTGGCACAGGCCTTTTCTGTGAATGGAATAGCGAGATAGGGCTATGGCCCACCATGCTGGCCCAGTACGGATTGGTTGGGATGTTTTCCAAAATAGCAGAATATCATAAACACCGCCACCCACCGCTTTCGCTACGCTGCGTCACAATATCTTTGCAAAGTTATAGTGAAAAAATATATGTAGCACAACATATTGATATGAAACTAATTTAATTGACGTCAGAACACCGAAATTCCGTTCTGTGAATGCGGCGTTAGTTAGTTTAATATAATTTTACATAGTGATAATTTAGAAAGTAAATGATTTCTCGAATAACCAAATGTATTAACAACGTATGATGTGTAACATCTTTCCTCTCGCTTTCCCGCAATTTGTGGGAGTGATTTCGTGAAATGGGACGGAAGTGTGTTACAGGAAGTCGCGAAAGCGCGCCCTATTTGATTTGATATTAGAACATATTTGAACATGTTCAAATAAGCCATTTGAAGTAGGTTTTATTTCTTTTTTTACTAATATAAGTTAAGGTTTCAAATGTTGGGGTACGGCCACAGTGCACGCTGGTTCAGAATCAGATTCAGACTCAGAAAACAAGCGCGAGAAATAAACAGTGTAGTTTAAGTAGGTTGCCTGCTGCCACTATGGCCACCCTGCTTAAACTTATTTCTCGCGCTTGTTTTCTGAGTCTGAATCTGCGTGCACTGTGGCCGTACCCTGACACATCATACGCGACTACTGTAAGGCTCGCTTGTTTTTTTATGAGGGATGTGTAAATCAAGGATGTAGTAATTTTTTTGTGTTTGTAATCAAAATACAGCACGTCATGTCAAAATAATGAAACTATTTTGACATAACGTGCTGTATTTTGCTTAGACTTAGTTTCGCGTGTTTTCGCGCAACTTTTTGATTGTTTTGTAAGCCCTTCCTGTATATGAAATTAGAGTTAAATAAAATAAAATGTTATAACCATTTACTTGACAAGATACCGTGATATTTTAATTTTTAATAATATTTACGCACGTTACATAGATCCTTTATAAAATCAGCTGATAGTTAAATGTTTTTAAATGTAAAATGTGACTCAGAAAGACGGACATTTGTACTCTGTATGAATAATGAAATGTAACATTTTTTATATTTTCATGATAAAAATGCTTTTATTTTAACCTGGAGATCCTTTTAAAGAACCTCGAAGCCTTTTCGGGTTCAGTTGATATCGAAAACGAAACCACAACTAAATTGCACATTTTGAAAATACATTAACAAAACAGTTCCAGTTATTAGGATTCCTCGTCTAAAGGGCGACATTGAACGGAAAATTCATAGTAATCGGAAAATTGTAGTGGATGTCGGTTGTACCACAGCGTGTAGAGAAACCTAGTGATATAAAAAAATTACTTATGTATCTACTAACAGTTCGGTTTTAAAAAACGCCATAAACTTATAATTATCATCATTCATCATATAAAGCGATATCATCATATCACAGTGAAAATGCTCTAAGGGCAGACATTATAGAAAACACATTAAGATTTGAGATTTATTTATTTCTTTTCAAACAAAACCGATTTTACATATTTTGTTTCATCTAAATATTATAAATCAAAGTGTTACATAATTATATAAACGGGGCAATATTTAGGCCCCAGAACTTTGACTGATACCTACTTACATTATTGTTATTCATGAGTTTAATGACTGAATATCTAGTACCTTATTATTTAATTGCTTCGAAATATTTACAAAAACGGTAACAGATGAGAACAAATATATAATTGGGTACATAAATATAGACATGGACTACGTCCGAGTCCTTGGTTGTATCGTCGACAGTAACAAGTACCACAAAAGATATTCAACTATTTTCTTTTTCTGAAAAAAAAAACATTTTGACGGGGAATACCGTGGACACAAAGAAAATAAAACTAACACCCCACACACAAGCGTCTTTCAAGCGTCGTACCAGTGTCCGCTCAACGTCGAAGCGACGCTATCGCTAACCGGCTGCTGAATAGGCTTGCCAGATGGCCGGGAAATCCGGGATTGTTCAGGAATTTTGCGTCTTGTTCAGTGTCCATTAATTAGACCTTATTGTCCCGGATTCCGATAATTTGCTAGTTTCGTAACAAAATAAACTAATAACGAATGACCCGCTGGCCTGCTTGATGTTTTAATTCTGGGGGGTGATGGGGGGGGGGGTTGATTTAATGCTTTATTTTTTCAAGGGGCTAATATCCCGGAATTAATAAGTCAGCATCTGGCATCCCTACTGCCGAACCCCGGGCAGCACTGGCTCGCGTCGGCAGTTTTTTTTTTTGCGAGCAAGTACCAGCACTGGCGTCGCGTCAACGGTGCGCGGATGCTGGCACGACGATAACGCGAGAAAGATGCTACTGTGGGTGCTCTAAGTTCTACTAATGGCAATAAAAACTGTTTACTGAGATATGTATAGAGATAATTTTAACGCTGAAAACGACTACAAAAAGTTTCGCAAAATGCTTCTCAGTTCAGATTACACTGAAAATAATATAGGCATTGAAAATCCGTCCTAAAAAAATATTAAACTTTTTAAACGTGTGTTTCCTTTTAAAATTCTCGATTGCAATGAAATCAACTCGCACTTCATTTATTGTGAATGACAGATTTTTCGATGGATAACAATATAGAGACGTTGCCCTAAAATCACTATCGAGAGAATATATCAATAAATTATAATAATATATAACTTAATCAATCCAAGATAGTTTTAAACCACCCGTGAATGATTGTAGCATTCTTATCACTAAATAATGTCATAAATAAAATGTACATATTAAAACTATTACATATGCAGAGCACTCTCATCGAAATATCTAAAACGACAATAAAGAATCAAGGAACACCGAAATACCAAATTGGTATCGTTTACAACCTGGTATGAACACAACCTCACATCATTATTATCAATGAAGAGTGGCATCAATAAAAGTGCTCGCATAAATTTAAATCTCTAAGAGATCTTCATATTTACACGAAACAAAAATAAATCATACAAATAATATTTTGCATTATTATAATTATATACTGTACTAATCAAACTAAATTAATTTACGAGCCGGTGTCGTTGTTGTCGACTCACGTCTTTGACACAAGTACTACATTATAACACCATATTTGACACGTATTACAACAGTAATTCACTGGTCTATTATTAACCTTTAAGAACCTTAAAGAACTTCCCAATACTTAACTCGTTCTATTGATACCATCAGAATTTATTTTAATAATTCCAGTTCAGAAATAGTTTCGTAAACTGTGACTTTGCCGTCTGTACAATCCAGCCTCGTCCGCAATGTTTTTAAAACTAACCTAATCAAAAGTACTCCCACCTTGATAACCATTGCTATTAATAAAAGTGCCACCTTATGGATAGCACACATTATGCCGGGCCGCAGCGGGTCAGGTCGCAGCACAAACATCCGCTCAAATAGCTCGTATGTATTTTGTACTAGCGGCCGCCCGCGACTTCGTACGCGTGGAGTTAGTTAGAAATAAAGGTTCACTGCTCGTTCCCCGTAGGTGATATCGTGATAATATGTAGCCTATATGTTGACCCGACTTTTTAATAATATTCGTGCGAAATTTGAAGTAAATCCATGCAGTAAATTTTGAGTTTATCCCGGACATACATACAGACAAACAGACAAAAATTCTAAAAACTATATTTTTGGCTTCGGTATCGATTGTAGATCACGCCCCAAGTATTCTTTTAAAAAAATATCAATGTACAGTTTTGATTTTCCTAAAATTTTATTATATGTATATTTAAACTATCGCACGCTGCCGGGGAGATGCGGGCAGCATAATCCGACGCGGACTTTATTTGCGTGTGATGCGATGCGCCCCGCTCCGCTACGCTCCGACATAGCAAGCGACCAATCTCAATTTGAAAAGTCTCATACATTTTATGTCAAAATTTATACGTCAGGATTAAAAGTTGCACTGAGAGCGTAGGTTTTGAATGTAGCTCGGTACACTGTACCCAAAATCTGTCAATGCGCTACGACCCGGCCCGTCACTAATGTGCTAAGTAAGTATTTTGCGATGTGCTGCTGCCCGCTCCGCCCCGCTGTGGCCCGGCATAATATGCGCTATCCTTTATGTGAAAATACAATTGCTTGTAGAATGGAGCTGTACAAGTGTACATAGTCTTCTTCCGAGTTAAGAGCGGATGCGAGCTGAGAGAAATTGGAGAAATAGGTATTAAAAACTGTCACGCTTTGGCAAATACCGTGCGATAGGAAAAACAGGTGTTAACGCTGAAAATTTCGTACTAAAATTGTAAACATTTGAGGTATGGCTCTCGACAATTTCCTACTCGAAATTAGATATACGTAAAATAAATTTAACATAAAGTATAATAAGTAGTTTTAATATGCCTCTATGTTTAGATTTTGTAAATGTTTATTAAATATCCACACCAGACGTCTTTAGTGGTGATAAAAAAAAATAAGTTTTGGGCTTTTCGAGGGCTTCTAGTTTCTTTGAAACACAAGTTACCGAAACAAGGTAGACATAGCAACATAGATTGAGTTAAATTATATTTTATGTATGAAAGTCAATTCTTTACTGATAAAAATCAAGGAGGAATTAGTCAAGAACGTCTGTATGCAAAAAAACATTGCCCACCTCCCCCCCTCTTACGGTACCAATAAATTTTACTCCGAGTAAAGATAAATTTGCTGTTTCGTTCATTTAGTTTTATATCTAAATGGACTTACAAGCTTAGAGGTCATCATCGCTTGCAATATTCTTTAGCATTACCCAGCATCGCCTTATAAGTTCCCTTCCCATAGTTAAGTAAGCCCGATCCCACGTCTTGTACAAAAATATCAGTTTATGGCGATATCTGCATTTATTTTTTCCTTTTCATTGCTTACCTACTATTAAAAATAATTTTGTGCAATATTTCTTTTTTTAACAAGCGCAAGAAACATGAATTCTATTCAATTAACACTGGTACGGATTACATGCGCTTGCGGATGAGGCACCGAGTCAAAGTCTCAATTCTCAAAAAGGTTTGGTTACATCGGACAGTTTAAATGCTAATAGAAACTATAATACATTAATACGAAGTTAAGAATAAATTCTTACAATCTATTCCTAAAATGTTAATAATAATTCCGTCACGAAGAGACACACATTGCAAGAGCTATTCTTTGTGCGTCTCCAACGAGCCCCATTACATATTAAGTATGTATATATATATATATATATATCAATGTTTAATAAAAGTTTCAAATGAAACTCAAACAATTTGTGTAAAAACATATAAGTCGAAAAATTTTGTAAGTTTTTTGGGTAGTAGTAAAGTTTTATAAAAGTTTCGAAAATGAAACAATTTCAAGTATAGTTTCAGGATTGTTTTAAAAAGTGACACAAGTAGTATAACTTATAAATATTCTCTTCCTTTTTTGAGGATCAATAATATGCAAGTCAAACAACATTGATGAACTACTATTAGGATGGGTACAATCAAATTTCAAGTCTTACAGCAAAACTACTTTCGCTACATACATTTAACCCGTGTTCTGAAATACTTAATGTTGTTATATATTTAAAGCCCTTTGTTTCATAAACGCTTATCGGCAAAAGATCTTATATATACTTAAGTAACCTAAATTTGCAGCATTCGTAAATCACCGCAAGTAATAAATACTTCTTTAAAAAGGCAGTTGTCATGTTAAAATGAATTTGTGAACATAAAAAGATAAAGAATAAATGTACATATTTGTGATAATGTTTCAATCGGTTATGTAGAAAAATAAAACAAAAATATTAAAGAATATAGTATAGTAAAATAAATTATTGCAGGAAAAAAAACATTTCATATGAATTCCATATAGATACCATTTAATTGTACCTTCTAATAACACTAAAGACTGTTAATTGTGGCAGAAAGCAGTAATCGCGCTCTTGAGTGGGTAGTTTTTAGTATTCCATGTCCACAGGGTGCTTTCGGAAACCAAATACTAAAAATCTGCTAAATTTATGTGTGTGTAGGTATGTGTTTTATTTCGACGTTATTCCACCTAGTGTAAAAAATATTTAATAGTATTGAACAACAATCCATTTATTAAAAAAAACCCTAAAGTTTAAAATTAGGGTATGTCATGCATGAAAGGCAATCAAACAGTTACAAACTACCAATCTCGCTTCAACACATCCTTTTTGGTAGTCAAAACACACATAATGGTTGATGATTTCCTTAAAATTATGGAATTCATGAGCTCTTGTAGAAGGTATATCATTTTATAATACCTCAAACATTTATAAGTGATTTCATTCGAATCGCGCCAACTTGACGATGACGACAAGAAGATCAATCAAAATATTTAATTTTCATATTTTTGGCTAATTCAACTTGCAAAATTTGTAAAAAAAAACAACACAACACTAGTTTATTAAAACTCAATTTTCTATATAAATACATAAAAATTTGTTTCAAATTTAAAATGAATATACTAATAAATATAGGCGTAGTTTTCATCAATGCGTCAGTAAAATAAAATATGTAAATATACATTTGAAAAAATATATAATTAAGAAAATGTCAACAACTAAAATAGGTATTTATAACATTTAACAGAAAACAATATAACAGAATTCATGAAAAATAAATTTAGTCTATTCTATAACTTTAATAATTCCTAAGATATAAGACGATTTGTCAAAAGTGCTTATGAACCAAATAAGAGTTAAAAAAAATAAGATTATGACAGACATGCCATAGAAATTCATTAGATAATAATAATTTCATTGAATTGTAAATGAGTGTATTCCATTTCATTGATAACTATTAACACCAAGTAGATAAAATTGTCATAAGGAGTAAACTTATAACATTACTGTATCGCCATGAGATTATTTGTGTCACATTTTAAAAACAACAGCCTAATTGTCGCCTACTCGGACTCTGCGTATTCCAACACCGCATAATCGATGTATTTGTCCGACCTTAATTGTCATGGACGCGCGAGCCGCATTTTGCGAATCGAGTCCACAAAGTGTTTGTTGTGAGCCATCACGGACTCTTGCAGTTTGGGAGGCAGCTCCTCCAATGAGGGTGCGGTGCCCTCCTCGCAATCGGTGCGTCTGTAGAACAGTATGTACGGAGTGCTCGAACGATTGAGAACGTTGAATTGGTTCTCATCGGTCGCGGTTACCGCGTCATCGTTGTAAACGTGCCATTGGTCTTTATCCTTGGCCAAAGTGAAGTAATGACCGGAATCGAGTGTCGTCCCCGAATGGATGACGGCTGCGTAGAGAGAGTAAGCCGCGTGATCTGCTTGTGAGCGTACAGTCGGCAATGTTACCGTATGGTTGTGGAACATTGAGTGCATCAATTTCGTCTGCACTTGCAATTTCGGCTCAAACCTGCGAACGTGCATAACGTAATGAAACACTCGATTCGAAATAATATTAAACTAACCGTCTGGAATGGTTCAGGAGCTCTACTCTTTTTCTCCGAAACGAAATTTCGGTAACGAACGAATTTTAAACAAAATTTCGCCAGTGACACAATTTTCGTGAACGAAGACATTAAAAAAACCTTCTTCAGTGTTAGCCGACTAATATATAGAGTTGATGCAATCGATTGTATGTCAACCTAAATTTATAGTTTAATACTTTGAAGTATTGGAAGTACAATAATAAAATAAATAAATATTTCCAACACTCACACCAATTAGCCTAGCCCGAAAGTAAGCACTGCAAGGCTTGTGTTATGTGATACGGATAGAATACATATACTGTACATATATAATTATATTTATATAGAAATACATATTAAACATGACTGGAGAACAAATGCTCGTATTCATCACACAAACATCTGCCCCCACCGGGACACGAACCCGGGACCTCCCGAGTCAGCGACACCATGAAACCCGGCGTATAAACCACTCGGCCACGGAGGTCGTCCAATAATGAATAAAAATATGGTTTATTTGTTAATTTTACATGCTAAAAGATGTTCTTCACGCTAAGCAGGCCTTGATAAGAAATATTGTAGCTGTCATTTAAGGCTTAATTTAAACAAATTCCCAAAACGAAAATGAAAAGTTAACACATTTCATTTCATCAATTTGAGGTTAAAATATCGAGTAAATTATCAGTCAAATTCAACTTTTAGTTCTAAAGTTTTGTGCATTAGAGTAGGCTTGGAGAATTTAATTATCAAACTATTATTATCGGACGAACGAATTTTCGAAATGAATAAGAAACAGGGCAAGGAACGTGCGAAATTTCGATCGAAATTTTGTATTTCATTGAATTAGAGTAGACCTCCAGTTGCGGAACATTCTAGGGAATTGTGATGTAAAGGGAAAAAGAGATAAATCATGCAGATGCATTATTATTAAGGATAGCTTAGGTTGTAACATACAAAAATGACTACGTTAATTGAAAGTATTGTAACAGACAAGGGCCAGGAAAATAGGGTAAATGATAACATTTTATTGTATAAATTTGACTGTAAAAATATTTTAAAGAAACAATAAATAATCAAAACAACACATCAGAGTTAAATCAATTTATGAAAAAGTACTCACTTGAAGTTCTTCAGCACGAGAATCAGATACTTGGGCGTGGTCTCAATCAGCACGCTTCTCTCGGCATCTCGTAAACCGCCACAGTCGCGGCACTCATATTGGTTGTCGCCAGTCAAGCTTTCCTTGGAGCAGTAGAATTCCAGAAGGTTCTGGACGCTGTGTTGCCAGCCCTCTGGTTTCTCAGGGAACGCCAGTTGGAGATCACGGAAAACGTCACGGGACAGGGATGAAGAATGACACTCTGTGCATTCGACGCGAGTAAGCAGTACTCCGCCGAACATACTGTCTATGAAGGAGTCACGACGGAGGAAAGCGGATTCGTTGATACGCAACCGCTTCTTCGGCGGTAAGAGTACTTCTTGTTCTTGTGAAGGGCGCTTCTGAGCACCTGAGCTCGATCCTAGGAGAGAATGACATAAATAGATATTAAGGTTTATGTATCTTCCTTTGCAAAACGCAATATTTTGCACAGTAAGTACTCACCAGCGGCGCTACTGCCAGGTCGCGGCGACACGGAGCGGCGGTTGGGGCTTGCATCTCCGCTACCATGCTCGCTGTCACTGAGGAAATAAATTATATAAATCCTTTTTTTTTTTATTTATTGCAACATGCTTAAAATTAAACTACATATATACCTATACATATCTAATCCACTTAATGGATTGTTAATATGTAGCATCCGCCGTAGCAGAAGTTGCAGATATAGATGTTGATCTTAATTTTACTTAGGTACTATATAAATGAAATCAAATTAAATCTTACAATTTGCTCAATCTTATATGCTAACTATGTTATACATATTGCTGAAGTTCCTCCTGAATTACTGTTAAAGTGTTTTTTAAGTTTATTTTTTATTTTACAAATGTTATTACAAGTAGTATACAATAATTGTAGTTCTGTAGGTAGCTCGTTAATAATTTTTGGTAATATATATTGGCACACCCTTGTTCCATATAAGTTATTATAATTTGGGATCATGCAGGTATCTGTATAATCTAGTTGTCTTAAGTTACTAGATCGGTTTCTCAATGTGATTAAATGTTTATTATGGTATTCGTCTGTTAATGTTACAAGTTTAAATTTATCAAAAATATTTAGAATATTACAGTATTGGAATAAACTTTCGTTATTTACATTTAGTTTCAGGCGTATTTTCTTTGGTACAAGAGTTTTGATTAGACTAACCTGTAAACTATATATTTGTTGCAAGTTTGTTTTACAGGATCTGGCAAACTACTCAACCCATAACTAATTAAGGAATCCGCCATAGAAATATAAAACAATCGTAGAGTACTCATTGGCAACTTATAACGAAGTCATTTTGCTCAATATTGACCGTAGTTTGTCAGTGATATATTCGATATGTGAACTCCAGTTAAACCGCTGATCGATAACGATACCTATATATTTGTGAGTGTCAACAAACTACAGTTGTTCGCATTGACAAGACGTCGTTGGTATGTGTACGCGCCGATGTAAGCAATTATGATCGTGTGCGATAAGGATGGGCCGGCAATCGTACCTATTGTGCGCTGAACGAATGTGCATAGCTTTATGTTTTTTGTGAATTTAGGAATAGACCCGTATCGTGTGCCCACATACATAATAGATTAAAGTTATGCTGTATGCGCCTCGCTACCTCGTTAATAATTTGTTGCAAGTTTGTTTTACAGGATCTGGCAAACTACTCAACCCATAACTAATTAAGGAATCCGCCATAAAAATATAAAACAATCGTAGAGTACTCATTGGCAACTTATAACGAAGAATTGTCATTTTGCTCAATATTGACCGTAGTTTGTCAGTGATATATTCGATATGTGAACTCCAGTTAAACCGCTGATCGATAACGATACCTATGTATTTGTGAGTGTCAACAAACTACAGTTGTTCGCATTGACAAGACGTCGTTGGTATGTGTACGCGCCGATGTAAGCAATTATGATCGTGTGCGATAAGGATGGGCCGGCAATCGTACCTATTGTGCGCTGAACGAATGTGCATAGCTTTATGTTTTCTGTGCATTTAGGAATAGACCTAATGCCCACATACATAATAGATTAAAGTTATGCTGTATGCGCCTCGCTACCTCGTTAATATCATCATGCGCAGCAATCAGACATGTGTCGTCTGCGAATTGGTATACCGAACAATCCTTAAAGACACGATGCATATCATTCACGTAAAGTAAATATTCCAAGGGGGCTAAGATTGACCCTTGAGCTGTGCCAGAGGTAGTAGGTATCATATTACTCAAAGCATTCGACACTTTCACAGTAGTAAATCAATTTCGGTGATAGTTTTGTAACAAGCTTAGTAAATGACCTTGAATTCCATTCTGCGATATTTTTTTATACAACGTATCATACTGCAAAACATCGAATGCCCTACTGAAGTCAACAAATATAACCATCACGTGTTTTTTATAATTTAAATAAGAATTTATTTCATTTGTAAATTTTAAAAGTAATTGCGTTGTGTTCCGGGGTTTTTTTGAAATCCGCATTATTGATTATTGATTACTAGCTGCGCCCCGCGGTTTTACCCGCGGTTTATTAGGTATATTTTCCCGCAGTAAAACGTAGCCTATGTGTTAATCCAGGGTGTCAGCTAACTCCATAACTAATTTTATTAAAATCGCTCCAGCCGTTTAGACGTGAAGAAATTACAAACATACACACTCACACACTCACAAACTTTCGCCTTTATAATATTAGTGTGATTTTATTAATTTTTAAATATTCATTAATTTGATTGCCAATAAATCTCTCAATTATTTTGTCTATACAAGATAAAATAGTGATGGGTCTATAGTTGCTGGTATCAGAGTAACTTCCTTTTTTATGAATGGGTCGAATAATACCTATCTTAAGCGAATCCGGGTATGTTTTTGTTTGTATACATTTATTGATTAGATGTTTTATTACTGGAGTTAATTCCGTTGATAATATTTTCATATCAATTATTTTTATCTTATCAAATCCAGGACTTTTTGTATACTAAGTTGATTAATTATTAAACATACATCGTTATCCGTCGCTTTGAATATTATCCCGAAATTCAAATGCAAATTTATTTGATAAATCAGTCGGTGACATATCAAAAGCTTGCAAAATTATATTATCTATTGATTTAGTTAGTCTGCCACAGAGCCTATTTATAATTTGCCATAGTTTTCTAGGGTTACGAAAATTATCTAAAACGTCCTGTTTTGTTTTTATGTTCCTAGCCTTATTTAACGCTTTATTTGTTTTATTCCTGTAAATATTGTAATTTAATCTGTGTATCTTATTATTTTTATTCTTTTTCCATAATTTGAATAACTCATGTTTTTTGTTTATCATACTGTTTAATTTATTATTCATCCACGGCAGCTTATTTGTCGTGAATCTATTTTGTTTTATTTCTGTATAATAACTATATTTAGCATACGCCTGCTCAAATGTTTCAGTGATGAATAATATTATATCATTAGGATCATGTATAGATAAAGCGTGATACCAGTCTATGTCACGCAAATGACTTATTACCTTATTTTAATCATATTTTACAATTAATTTAGCATGCTGGTAATTGCTAGATTCCGACATCATGTTATTAAATATCGCACAAGCTGTCATATAATGGTCTGCGGGCGTCGAGCAAATTACAGCGGAGTTGACCTTAAGTCTCGGGTAGTTTTTAACGAAGATGTGATCTATGCAGCTACTTGTCAATTTATCTTTTTTTAATTCAACTCTCGTAAATTGGTTTATTACGCAATCCAAGCCAGCTTTCGACAAAAGATTCAAGTACGTTGTACAATAATGTGATTTTTTAAGTAAATCTAAATTCATGTCACCCAAAATTATAAAATTGTTTTTGCAAAACAAATGTTTTATGTGGCTGATATCTGTTATAAAGCCATATTTAGAATAATCCGGTGGCCTGTATATAACACATACATTTATTTTGTATACATAACTAACTTGAATTTCTCCAATTATGCATTCCATATGATTTGTTATTATATTATGACGTTGAAATAATAAGCTTTTATGAACATACAACAATATGCCTCCCCCAGTTCTCTGTTTTCTTAGTAAATTAATCATATCCATCCAACTCAAATAATGAATGACAACCATATTTGATATTTACTTCTGTTAGAGCTAAAACATGAATAGTTTGTTTAGTACTATTTATCACGCGTTCAATGTATGCAAAATTTTTACAGATTGATCTGATATTGACGTGACAAAAAATAAGTGAATTAATATTTTGTTTATCGCAGTTAATTATGAATTCTTGGAAGGTATCATATTTGTGTTCTGTTATACAATTAATTTCTTTAGAATTAGCCATTTTTAGATACAATAGGATTGACAATTGACGAGCGCGTGTACATTAAAAAGTGTTATAATAGACAAAGAAATATAATATTATTATTATTTATTCTTATCTTGCAAATCTTTAGCGAGACTATCTATGTCTTTTAGCGATTTCACGGCATGTATTTTAGTACCTTCTTTCTCATCTTTTCTTACGAGGATCCTCCCCTGCGTACACCAGACGAACTTATAAAGACCTGTCTTCTTGAGGTCTTCTTTAGCCTTCCATAGCATCTGAGCTGTTGTAGGCGTAAGGACCTCCCGGATGAAAATAGGATTTTCTCCGGTAAAGCAGCAATCTTTGGCTTTCAATTTCTTTTTCTTTGCTGCTGAAATCCAAGCATCTCGGCGTCCATCCTGCAGTGTAATAGAGAAGATGCTAGTTTTTATTTCGTTGTTTTTGAATTTTCGAACTTTTTGTTTTCTGACTACCCTAATTATGTCCTCGGTGGATTGTTCAATTTTGCTGCAGACCGTTTCAACAATCTCTTTTGGATCTATGTCTTCTTCGCATTCAATACCACATATTTCTAGTTCGTTCCGAAGCTGATTTTGTTCTAATGCACCAACTCGCTGTTCTAACGCCTCATTGCGGGTGGTTAGATTACGGTTCGAATTTTCTAAATGCTTAACTTTTCCTTGCAACGTATTTAGCTTCTCATTGAATTCGTCGATCAGACCAGAGTAGTCGGACAAAGTATTTTGTAATTCTTCTCTTATAATGGTATTTACCTCCTTTCGTATCTGTGCCAGAACCCCCTTCAAGGTCTTTTTATCGTAGGTCGAGACGTTTTCAAGCTCAGTTTCCGAATTGTCCGTATCCTCTCGGTCACCTATGATTATAGACTTCCTCTTGGGTCGGTTTTTATTGGTGCAGTTATCACATTTCCATTCCATGGATTCATTTTCATTTAAGGCAGACAATTGTTCCCTATGTAGGCCTGCACAAGCTGAGTGAATCCATATTTGGCACTTGGAACACTGCAATCCAGGGTTTTTTTTATTAACCACTTTCAAGCACTTTGAGCACTTTGCCATAATCGCACAGCGATAGATTACGATATTCGTTTGAGAAATAATAACACCAGCTGACACGCATCTACACTGCACCGCTGCGCGCGCGCGAATGATGAATGAATTTTGGTCAACCTATACAAAGTTCTTTATATATTATTTAAATAACATTTAAATAATACGATCAGCTAATAACCATTTGCTTTACTGTTGTTCATATTCAGAGCATAACAAAAATAGACTGCCTTTCACCATTTTATCTTTTTCTTATTCATCCATTTTCAAATTCGAATGTTTCCCTTACCTTGAAGAATGCGATGTCTGCGCATTGCCTAGGGCTATGGGTCGCATCCGGCTGGTACCGGCCAACACGGCCGGTCGGGAATAGTCGAAGTTGCGGTCCGAGCAATGTTCATAAGACTGCAGTAACTCGAACAAGTACCTGTAACAATGGCACCATATTAGTTGATGTAAACCAAATCCTAGTGGAACTACTGGGTAAAGTGGTAATGGTGATTTGTATAGTTATTTAAAGAAAAACGTGTCTCTCTCTACGATAATAAGTTTGTAAATATACTCATAAAAAAAGTCTAAGTAACATGTTGTATAGTTTTGAACTTTTGAACGTTTTTACTATTGTAATATATTTATAACTAGTGGGTGCCCGCGACTTCGTCCGCGTGGAATTAGTGATTTCTTTAGACTATTTTTGATCCATTCTGCGTTTTTAACAGTCTAAAATGGGAAAGTTTATAATTTATTTAGATAAGTATTCGTACCAAATTTTAGTTCTATTAACCAAAAAGGATGAGATTTAGCACTTGCCTATTGCCGACGATTGCGATGGCACCAAATACAAATTTAAAAACCTATTAAGATAGTTTAGTTTTTCAGGTACGGTTTCCGCACTTAGTCCCAATTATTGTGCGTGTCTCAAAAACATTTACTCCAGCCAGCCTATATTGGTCCAGAAAGAAAGCAGCCTTGGTAGACTGCTGCAAGCTTCCGGAAACGATTCTGGCGACTGGAGAAGTCGTGCCCGTTGGTCGGCCACGCTCCTGCATTCCATGATGACATGCTGTGACGTTTCTTCTGCCTCCACGCATCCTCTGCATAGGGGACTGTCTGTTACTTCGATTCTTCTACTTATATTGTATATAGGTGTTTGTTTAGGGGACAATGACCAGTCGGGGTTTCTATAATCCTGCGAAGTTTGTCCCTATTTAGTCTGGTAAGGGTGCGGGCAAAACTTTTATTTGCCGCCGGAACCGCGTTTTTCGTTTGCCGGCATCCTTCACCTGTTTTGCACTCTGCCAAGTGTGATTTTTGAGTTATTTCACGCAGCCACGTTTTAATTTGGGTCAGAGGTATGGGCAACAAAGGTAACTCATAGGAACCTACGATTCGAGTTAATCCAACGGCGCGTTAGAGTTCATTATATATTTTTTTATTTATTCAGCAAAAAATTACATACAAAATTGCATTATATCTGCCAAACTGCAACGCAGTTTCGAGCATCGATTTTAATCAATCGATTCGAACATCGATTTTAATATTATTATAAATTTTTCTTTTTGATATTAAGTGAAAAACATCGGAATTTATGGTACTGAGTAATGTAGGGATTGAGGTGGGAAGGGGAATCCGAAGCCTTAGCAGGGAATTTATGAATGAGGAGCAATCACATAGGAGGCACCCAAAGAAAATATGATTCAAGATCCTGATGAGGACACCAACGCCACAAACACACAAACTGTTGTCAATGACACCGATTCTACCAAGGTGAAAAGCTGTACAAACATGTTCCAATCGCTTTTTTATAATACAGGAAGTTGAAGCAAGTTGAAGTCTTATTACAGAGAACCACATTTTTCAGGAGGAATTCGCTGCTGCATACTTTTATAATAACGACCTTTACGGCAGCTAGAGTCATCAAAAAGACTTTCCCAAGATCTTAATAAGTGGTATTGAGGGATAGAAAGAAGGTCAGACACGAAATTTTTGTAAAGAGACATATCACTATTATTTACGGCATCTTTGGCAAATTTATGATTTTGACACAGACAAGGATTTTGTGATGGCCAGGTATACACACAAAAAGGAGCTCGATGGCGCAAGTGGTTACCGCGTTCGGCTGCGATCGTTGAACTTAAGCAACTTTCGCAGTGGTCGGTCAGTGGATGGGTGACCAAAAATTATTATCTCGAGCTCCTCCGCGCTTCGGAAGGCACGTTAAGCCGTTGATCCCGGCTGCATCTGCAGTCTTTAGCACCCACCAATCCGCACTGGGCCCGCGTGGTGGGTCATGGCCCAATCTCCCTATTCCATCCATAGGGAAGGCCTGTGCCCCAGCAGTGGGGACATTAATAGGCTGATGATGATGATGACACACAAAAAGAACATCTTAACCTTTGACTTTACAATTTAAGAGCTGTCGATATTCTTTTTATAAACACATGTTAAACTAGATTTAAAAGCAAAATTTCTGCAGTTTGTAGGGCACTTTTCGAGTCCGTAACGATGATGGATTTGTTAAGTTTTGCAAGTAGAATATATTCTAGAAATTTTAAAATACCAAAAAATTAATATCGAATTTATTTTGAGTTTGAGACGCAGTTTGATTAAGCATTTTAGTAGAGATACATAGTTTGATATTAATTGATATTTTTTACTTCCGATACAGAAAATAAAGACTCCTGCTCAAATATATTGAGGTAATGGTAACGATAGGTAACTACAGAATCCTACACAGCGCGTGGCACGAAACGCACTTGGCCGGTTTTTTATGTAATAGGTAACAATTTTAAATAACTACTCCAAACTGTTTTCGGTGTGGTTTACGGCATCATATTTTTTTTGTTGTATTCATTATTTTGTCCTCGAGGAGAACTTCTACTGTATCGATCAATATTAGTACTTAATGCATTCATGACAAATAAAATGTATCCATTACTATGGAGATTCTTCATTTTACTGAAGCCGACGCAGCAGTTGAAACACGCAAGTGACACTCGATATAAAGTTATTAACGATGTTGTATTTTAACCATCGACATAAAAAATGTGATGAGGGACTCTATAGGAAGAGAGAAAAACAGCTTATACCAATACGAACTATGAGACGCCCGATCGCTTCGTTTGCCCCATACTTACATTTGTTTTACTTTACTGTTGGACAGGTAACGTTCAGTCCATTCTCTATGTGCCTAAGATTTGACCGCATCACACAACGCACGTGCGCCGCAACGCCCTACGTGTTCTCGATCGAACAAACCCTAACTAGTTTTACCTTAAAACAACACGACCTAACCAAAAATGTCGAAACGTGCCTAAAAACCGACAAAAGGTGGAGAGCCTGTTTGCCTGTCCTCGCTGCGCCAGTCTTCTCAACCGCACCATTAAAGATCTCAAGTCTAGATTCACGAACCATTGGCAAAGCTTTCCGTTATTCCGAAATACTTCTCTCAACTATCTAAACTATTACTATGTCCGGTGTCTATTTTATTTCACATTTTAACAGGAGTGTAGAGTGTGGAATATAAAAAAATAGGAGTATAAAAATATTCATAAATGAATTTTATTACAGCCTCATCGAGATTAGAAATGTCTATTACAATAGTTTAGAACAGGCACTGAGAATATGTTCTCCCCGAGTTTATCGGGAAGTAAATTTAATAGTTGTAAAAGCATATTTTGTGAGCCAACTAATAAGACCTGTTTAAGAAAAATAAAGTAATATACACTCGAGAGCAATGAATCCGGGTCAAATAAAGAATCCTAAAAATCTCGCAAACTTAGAATGCTAGCTTAATGAAATAAATTGTGTTTATTAGACAATTAAATGCTCCTTAAATGAAAGTAATAAAATTTTATGATTCACCACATTATATTTACAGAAAAATACATAAAGAAAAAACTGGCTGATCTCGCCTTAAAACAAAAATAGGAAACATGACATTTCGCGCTGACTCTGGCCGGTTTCTAGCATTGTGAAAATTCTGGTGCATTTTTTAGGTGTAAGCGACATGATTACAGCTTCAATAATTAATAATAATAGTCCAGTCAATGAAGGCTTAACTTTGCCATTTTGAGTTGATCACCTGCAACCAACGCGAAAATTTCCGCAAGGGTTCGTAGATTAATATACTAAAATTGCAGGGTGCTGCATTGAAGGCAAAGGGTGAAAAAAAAATGCGAAATGGTGCAATAACGAGTTTTTCGTCAATATCTCGCGACTGGCTGGAAAAATAGAAAAAAAAGGTATATATTTTCGCATATCTCCCATAGTTTTTGCACAAAATGCAATTAAAGGTGCAAAATAAAAAAAGAAAATATATAGTTAATGGTTTTTTTCCCATTTTTAAACGATCCTACGGGTCAAATTCAATAATCACCACTTACTGAAATATTTAAGGATGAGTTTTCGGCAGTCCACTAAAATGAAAATTGTCTACCGAAATGGTAAAAAAATGACCACCGAAATGATACAGCCAAGATCATCGCCTTTGTAGTAGAAGGGTTCTCTATTTTGAATTTAAATAAATTTCCTTATTCTTAGTAAATATTTTTGTTTGTTATTTTTTAATAAGAATTATTAATGAAGTATTAATTAATTGTTACTCCTATTAGTTATTATTACTAATTATAATTATTAATATGTACATTTTCAAAATAACGAACAAAGCGCGTTTAGAAAGCGAGAAGTTTATTTGTTAGTATATCGTCCCCTTAGTGCCAAAACCGATTATCTGCACTTTTCCGCTACTGAACTTTTATAATACCAATCGACCCGTCTCATTAAGCCGCATCTACACGTAAAACTCATTATGCTCTACGACGCATACTTCCTGAAATGGCTAATGAATAAAAAGAATAACTGCAAATTATTTCCAAAATTCTTGATTTAAAACCTAATAAACCCATTCAAAACACTTAAGTTTGTAAAAGTATTACCGCTGAAACCAAGTTTCGGATTTAAACTCATTTTTCATGTAGACACTTAGAGTAAATATCCTGTGAGTATCCTGTAATTGGCTTTGACTGTTGTTGACTTGACTGTTTGAATTTTACCAGATATTTTAATTTTACTAGATGAAGTAAAAACTAACAAATCTCGCGGCATAATATCCGCTAAAAAAAGCTGCTTAGTGAGAAACCGCGGGATCCCAGTTTTGGGATTCTTCCGCGTCTCCGCACCCAGCAGCCTCCCGGCCTAGCCGGGGCTCCACGGCAGGGGTCTCCCGAGGTATTGCGGGGACCCCGCAGACGTGCGCAGGATGGCCTGCGCGTGGGGGCAGAATACGCGGTCTAGTGCCCACCGTACCGCCCCCCGTCCGCTGCGGAGGACCACTTGGGCGTGCCCGTGTAGCTCCCTCCGCCGCCCCCCTCTTTGCAGGACAGAACTACAAGATGGGGGCTGCCGTCACAGGATCCCTCAGTGGCC